AAGTGTGAAGCAGGAGGGAAAAAGGTGAAGGAAGAGAAGTGGGTTAAAGGGTAAAAACATACAAAAAATAGAAAGAATAAACTTAATGTTCAACAACAGAGTAGGATGACGATACATAACAAAAATACATTACCCCTTGGAAATGGACAGCTGACTTGATCACTGCACCTCATATATGTAACAAAGTTTTTATCTATGCCATAAATTCATACAAATAAAAAAGGTATAAATAAACTTGAAGTAAATTTCTATACATGAAAATATATCTTAGAAAAATAAACTGAACAGTATTGAAAATAGATGAGAAACTGCAAAATAAAAAATAGTGAAATTGGCACATAGCAATAGAAATGATCCACATGACAGAAAGTAAAAAAAAAAAAGACTAAAAAAAAGAACATCAGTGAGTGGGAGATTAGTGTCAAGAGGCCCATCACTACATTGCAGGGTAATTGCAAGCCCATAAGGAGAGGGGAAAAGGAGGAGATTAAAAATAATTTTAAAAAATGATAGAAAAATTCTCAGTATTAATAACAATTATAAAACCACAGATTCAATATGCTATACAAATCTTGCATGGAAGAAACGTGAAGAAAATCACACCAAAATGCAACATTACAAAAACACTGACCACCGGTGACAAAGAAAAAAAGACACCTTATATAAAGAGGAACAGAATTAAGAATGAGAGCATATTTCTCATAAAAAATGATGCAAGGTGGAAGAAAATAGAGCAATGGTATTAAAAGTTAGCCAAAGTAAAAATAAAACTGTCTACCAAGACTTCAGTACTCATCAAAATACTTTCCAAAAATACAGGTGAAATAAAGAGTATTTGGGACACATGAAAGCTGACAAAATGTATCAATAGCATATCAACACTGCAAGAAATCTCGAAGTTAAGTCCTTCAAACAGGATTTTCATACCAGATAGATATTTGGATCTACACAAAGTATTAAAGAGTGCTTAAAATGACAGTATGTAGATAGGCCAGGCATGGTGGCTCATGCCTGTAATCCCAGAGCTCAGAGAAACCAAGACAGGCTGATGGCTTGAGCTCAGGAATTAGAGACCAGCCTGTGAAAGAGCTAGACCCTGTCTCTACTAAATAATAATAATAATAAGCAGATGAATATATATTTTTAAATAATTTAATATAATTTTAATTTTTGAGAAGATAGCCAATGAAGCAAATGTAATAACAATGTTGAGTTTTATAGCATATCTGAAAATAGTAACAGTCAGAGAAATGTATACAAATATATACATTATAAGGTTTCTACATTACACATGAAATGGTATAAAGTACATAGCATAACCTTTAGAGAATCACCCCCCAAGATAGAGCTATTGATAATAAATTAATAAAAAGATGATATTGTTATAGAGCTGTTGATAATAAATTAATAAAAAGGTGGTATTGTTATAATTTGGGCTTCCATCAAAATTTATTTCATAAGCTAGGATGTAGTAAATATACTAAAGATATTATAACTCTATAATAAGTGCAAGGCACTATTTTAAAAGTTTTTGATAATCCAATTAGAATTTTCACAACTAAAGAAAGCATAAGAAATATCTTAAGAATTCCTAAATAATGGGAATTTGGTTTAAATTCCAATTAACACTATGATAATATCAGATTAATCCTTTTTGGTTTTTTTTTTTTTTTCCCCTAAAGGAGAGGAGAGGAGAGCTATATTCCTGCCTTCCTCAAGAACCTGCAATGGTTCATCATTTCTACTACTAATAAAAGGACCACTTAAAAATTTCACTTCCTTTATAAAACCCTTTCTGAATCCTTACAGATGGGATTAATTACTTTTTCCTTTAAATCTTGTATGATTTTAATATCTGCCCACTCCAAGCCTCATATTGAAATATAATTGCCATTTTAACATTATTAAGAGATGAGACCTTTAAGAAGTGATTATGTTATGAAGGCTCCACCTGCTCAGGTGAGATTTATGTCGTTACGAAAGGACAATTCTAGGACTCCTGTGCCCTTTCTGGCCCTCTTGCCTCCTGCCATGTGGTTGTGTGGCAAGACGGCCCTGGCAACATACATTGATACTGGACTTTCTGGCCTCTAGAACTATAAGACAATATATTTCTGTTTATTATAAATACCCAGTCTCAGGTATTCTGTTATTGCAGCACAAAAGGGGATAAGACAATTCTTTTTTACTTTATCTGTTTTAATTTGATATTTTCTCGTAGCATTAATTTTTTTTAAATTAACAAATAAAAATAACAAAATTGTATCTATTCCACACTGTGGTATGGCTGAATCTAACTAAAGTATGTGTTATCTCACTATTTTCTGTTTGCAGTTAAGGCCACAAAATCTATTCTCTTAGCAATTTTTTTTTTCTTTTAGCAATTTTAAAGTATACAATCCATAGTTAATAAGTCACCATGTTGTACAAGAGATCTCTTAAACTTTATCTTTCTGTCTAAATGAAAATTTGTATTCTTTCTCTGTCATCTTTCCAATTTATTCCCACCCCCTATCCCCACCCTTTGGTAAGCAAAATTCTACTCTCTGCTTTTATGAGTTTGACGTTTTTAGATTCCACATACACAGAAGAGTGAGAAAATGCAGTCTCTGTCTTTCTGTGCCTCTCCTACAGGAGCTGAGGCCAGCATGAGCAAGGAAGCAGACAAAAAGGACCACAAGTTCTGAAACCTGGGCGCAGGATTATGCTAACTGTGTTCAGGAAGTGTAGCAGAGGCCAATGTGCCCTGAGAGCAAGAGGGTAAGCAGGGAGGTTGGTAAGAAAGAAGGTCTAATATTACCTTGGATTCATATTACAAGATTTGCTAGACAGAGAGAGGGCTTTGAAACTTACTCTAAAAGTGCCATTGAAAACTGAAGGCCATTGAACAATGACTTGATTCTATTTTTATTTAAAAGATGAGGTTAAGCAGGAAGCCAGAAAACTAGATAGCCTGGCAGGAGTTGATGAGGGCTTTGATTTGGTCTCAGCAGTGAAGGTAGAATATATATATATAATCCATTTTAAAAGTAGAAAGTACAATTAGCTGACGAAGGAGCGTATGTTTGAGAGAAAAAAAAAGGCTTTAAAATATTTTTTCAGTATGTTCATATAAAAATTTTGTATTTGAAACATTCTATTTTTCTAACATGCATGAAGAATTATGGAGTTAGAAAGGGTGTGTGGAACAAAATAATTCACATATTTACACTATTGCAATTCACCTAAATTTGATTTGTACATTTGTAAAATGGATTCTATTTGAGTCAGAAATAACCTCACCTCAAAGAAAGCAATAGCATAAGATCTCCCTAGAGAAAACACATCAATGGCATAGCAGATTTTAGAGTCACTAGCATTCAATTTCATGAGATATCACAGGCATTTTTAGTTTGTGAAGCTTTTACAGACTCTTTCTCATATGAAAACAAATATGAAAGATGAGATAAAATTGGAATAATTTTACTGGGAATTTCCATCAGGTTAAAATGTAAATATTTTCCTTGTGTCAACATTTTTCTCTGAATGCTCAGGCAGGTTTACTCATTATTATAAGGTGACAAAAATTTGTGAAAATTGACAGTTGATCTGGTCAAATCTAATTGCCTCATGTTGCTAATTTAACTGGCCTCATGCATAGCTAGTCTTAACTGCCAACTTCAATCATGGGAAGAGGAAAAAGAATATATTCAAGTTGCAGAAAGGATGAAATATTTTAATAGTAAGATGCTAGCTCAGCTTTTTTGCTTATTAATACTTTGCATAATAGAATTTCTGTCATGATTATTAAAAGTGATATTTATTATTTCTGTAAAACCTCTTTCAAAAGTTGATATGATTAAAATAAGTAAGAGAGATGCTGATTAATTCATGACTAAGTGAAGTCCTTTTTCAACTGAAAGAGCTCTGAAACAGAGATTCAAAGAAAAGTTCTACCGAAGTCTGACCAAGCAGTTACCCTTACAAACCATTGATTTGATTTATTTTATCATGAAAACGGAAAGGCAGTCCTTTATAAACTTAACGATGTAACATAGATCAGAATATTATATTCTTGATGTATTTATGATTTTTGTAGAACCAGCTAATTTTATGTATAACTTTTACATGACATATGTTATAAGTAGCATCATGGTGACTCTTTTAGGTCTATCTAAATTATTTCTCGATGTATCTGTGTCTGATTGGGTGAAAGTCACATCAGAATATTTGGCCATAAAACTAAGGCTAATTGAACTAGTGTCTTTCAGACGAGTATCAACAATCTTTTTAAAAGGAGAGTACTGGGCCAGATGCAGTGGCTAACACCTATAATCATGGCGCTTTGGGAGAGTGAGTTTGGAAGATTGTTTGAGCCCAGAAGTTTGGGATTGCAGTGAGCTATGATGATGCCACTGTACCGTAGCCTTGGACACACAGTGGGACCTTATCTCAAAAAGAAATAATAATAATAAAAGAAATTTTAAAAATTTAAAAATAAATAAAAGGGTGAATATGACTCTTTGATAATGTATCGTGAAAAAGACAAGACCTCAAGCCCTTATATCATCTCCTTGATCAAGAAATGACACATTACCTGGCACTGCCACAGTGAATAATTTGTCTTAAAATTAAGTGTTGATGAAAAATTAACAATAAAATATTGTTGAAGAGATACAAGTTTCACATTTTTTTGCTGAATATGTTCCCCCCAATTTACGATACTGGAGATTAAATTTATTTTAAAAAATTAATTTTAACCATTGTTTTCTTGGAGTTGTGTGCTGTTCCATGAGCGCACAGTGAGGGCAGTGCTGCTAACACCTACGTAACCTGCTTACATCAACTAGAGCTTTGCGTTATATTGGTACAATTTTTGGAAAAAAGAAAAATCTCTTTTTCCTGATTTAAAAATAAAAGAAAAAAGAAATAAATTAATTAATTGTAGTACCTTTCAATCATTTGATCAAAAATGGAATGATTCTATTTATTTTAATGTGAATACTGTGTTGAACATGTATTTATGAAGGAAATTAAACATTTGGATTTGTGTATGCTATCAGCATAGTATGAGGGAAGTACCTATTATTCTCACACATGAAAAAATCATGAATTTAGAAAATACAGCATTCAAATGTCAAAAGAAAACCAGTTTTTATGGAAAACTGATTCCACACCAAGTTATCTGCTAAGAATTGTGGGTTCATTTTGAGCTCAAGTTGAAAAGATCTCTAACCTTCTACTGCATAGGAAAAATCCATTATCTTGATAATCTATCTGATGCGTCAATTCTACTCATTTATCTCTTTGATTATAAAACCACTGATGTTCACGTGCTGATAGCAATACCATAGTATTTCCCCTATTTCTATTTGTGATATCACACAGGCTTTATTTTTCATTATGATACAATAGAAAATCTATTGTTAAGAGCAATAACACATTTTTTATAAAACTGAAATTGAAGTTTTTTAGAGGAAAGTGGTATCAATGACAACTAAGAAATTTCATTTCTGCTTATCTAAAATATACCTTCAGTGCAGTCAAAAGCTATTCTCCTTTATAGCCTGTTTGGAGCTACCCTATAATAAACCTTCCAAACATCTACAAACTTTCAACAGAAAAATCCTGGAAAAATGTTAAAATGGAATAAATACAACATTTTGTTATGTTCATAATTCCAAAATGTACACAGGAATACAACCACTACGATTTCATTTTCTCTTGCTTTTGATATTTATTCTTCAATTATTAAAACATCAGTTAGTTTTCTTGGAAATTAAGATGATAATGATGACTTAAGACAGAATTTTTTAGATATTTTCTCCTTTTCCAAGTTTCATTGTCGAATGCTGCTGTTGAAAAAAAAAAGCCCTTAACTTTGGTATTTATTTGATGTACTGAATTATTGCAAAGCAGTGAATATTTGGAAATGCCATCTTATTGCTTTATTTCTTTAGAGATTAAACAAGAGTTAATGTGGGTATTGAAGTACAGACCTTCTTCATTTAACATCTGAGCATAAATTTAATAAAATCAAATGTTCTGAAATATTAACCTTTGCTGATAATAATTAGTTATCTATATTTATACACATGATAATATTTCTCAGGTTAACACTGCAATAATAACAAAACTAAAGTAAATATGTTCAACTTTATATGCTTTATCAATTTTTATTACATTTTCCTTAATTTTCTTCTTTTCTCGGCCTCAAAACATTATTTGAACATTTAACTTGCCAAGTGATGTGTGTATTTGCATAAATCTGTAGTTAACATTTATTCTATAGGCCCCTAGACAAAAATGTACGTTAGCTTATAAGGTCAAAATATAAGATTTGTAAATGTTACAATAGTAAACCTGATAGTTCACAGGAATAATACATTGAAAATCAGACACAGTGTTCTATATAGGAAATGTCCCTCTCCATGAAAACAACAAAATAAGTCAATGTCCCACTGACTTGCAAGGGGAATATATACCACTTTTGTTTGGTGTATCAAAAAAATATAATTGCGTGCCTTAGCTTTCTCTTAATGTTCTAGTTTCACACTAATGCTGTCTGTTAGAGGAAATACTCCAATTACTCTCCATGAAAATATTTATATATGTGTTAAGTAATTTTAAATAAGGTACACTATTAAAGATAATGCAGTGCAGTGTTTTTTTAATTTCCAAATATTAAGGTGGTACAAATGTTTGAG